CTCCCTCATCATGGTGGCCTCAATCTGCCCCATGCTCCTTCTCCCCCACAGACTTACTAGCTGGACGCTGCTCTCCAAGCTGCTGGTCTGCATATTGGCAGTCGGATCATTATCGGCCAATGTGGCTGGTTAATAATTGGCTATCAGTATCGGCTGATCCAAAGATCTTTATCGCACCCCTGCTAACCTATATAGTTATACTCCTTTGTGCCTGTTTCCTGGACTCCCTGTTTATTTTATGTTAGGCAGTTGTTTAGACACATAGCAGGAAGAGCATACACCAACTTAAGACACTTCCTCAGCCTGAAGAAGGGTATTTATACCCAAAAGTTCATCTAGTCCAACTCCCTGCTCAAAGCAGGACCAGTTCCAACTATATCATTCCAGCCAAGGCTTTGTCTAGCCAGGTCTTAAAAACCTCCAAGGATGGAGAGTCCACAACCTCTTTGGGTTACCTGTTCTAGTGCTTTACTACCCTCCTAGTGAGAAAGTTCTTCCTTATATATAACCTAAACTTCTGTTGCTGAAACTTGAGATCATTGCTCGTTGTTCTGTTTTCTGCCACCACTGAGAACAGTCTAGCTCCATCCTCTTTGAAACCACCCTTCAGGTAATTGAAGGATATAGGCAAGGGACATAAATGGAAGCCTACACATAGGCTTCTACAACTGTATTTGAATCAGCCCTAAATCCTTTACTGGTTCTGAATATCTATGTGTATAGATGGTTATATCTCACTTGCTAAGGATACATGTAGTACATCACCATACAATATGGCTACGGGGCATAGGTTGTAGCTGTGTTGGTTTAAGGACATAGACAGACAAGGTTTCATAGTTGGTAAGGTCAGAAGGGGCCTAAGCAGATCATCAAGTCAAACCCCCTGCCATGGGCAGAAAAGAATGCTGGGGTCAAATGACCCCTGCTAGGTGATTATCTAGCCTCCTTTTGAAGACCCCCAGGGTAGGAGCAAGCACCACTTCCCTTGGAAGTTGGTTCCAGATCCTAGATGCCCTGACTGTGAAGTAGTGCTTCCTGATGTCTAGCCTGAACCTACTCTCAGTCAACTTGTTGCCGTTATTCCTAACCTAAAGGTTCTTTGGGTAAATCTGATATAATTTATTAGATCAACTCAAATATTTGGAAAAATTCTTCTTAGCAAGCTTTTGGGTTTAAATACCCATCTTCAGGCTGAGGGAGCATCTGCAGTTGGTGTGCACTCTTCCTGGATGGAAAGATAGAAATAACCTCACACAGTGAGGGAGGGAATGGGAGAGGGACAGGGTTCCACACACCATCTGCAGATGCTTCCTCAGCCTGACAAATGGTATTTAATAGGGCTGCGCAAAACAGCACCGTTTCATTTCGACTTCCATTTTGCCATTTCAAAGGAACATTGTTTTGTTTTGCTGTTCTGAAGCACTGTTCCATTTTCTTTCATCGGAACAGTGTTGCTATTTTGACATGGTTTCAATGTGTTTTGCCATTTTGCCCATAGGCTATAATGAGGAATCACAAAAATGCCTATATCTTTGTCATTTCTTGCCCAATTTGGATAAAAATTGCAGAGATTGTAGACCCTTCTAAGGGCAGGGTGTCTGCCAAGGATCAAGGCAATAGGTGCAGGGGGGTTCTGGGAAACAGTACCTCAAACTGTTCAAAGCAAAACTCATATCACTTGTCAGCAGTGGCAGCCTGCTGTCATCCTGCACACAGATCCATGGGGCCACACCCCCTGGGAGGGCTACAGGGCTGTGCCAGACTCTTCCCAGGGGGCACAGGCCCCTGCATCTGTGTGTGGAATGACAGCAGGCTGCCACTGCTGGCTGGAGCCAGCACCTGAGTTTGCCTGGCACAGCCTGCACCAAGCTCCCAGTTCAATTCCTCAGGTCTCTGATCACTTCCTCCAGCTCTCTGATCATTTCCCCAACTCTTCCCATGCACTGCCCGGGAACAGCTGTGGAAATGATGAGAGAGCTGGTGCAAGCAATCGGAGAGCTAGGGAATCAAACCGGGAGCTAGATGTCAATATCATTGCAGTCCTTACCCCCCTCTTCTTCCTAACTTAGCTTCTGTTGCTGCAAGCAAGTCGAAACTTTTGAAATGTTTTGAGTTCCCTCGTTTTGTTTCAAAGCTTTTTGTTTCGCTTTGATTTCACTGTTTCAAGCTCAAAACGTGTTGAAACAGCTTCGAAACGAAACACCCATCGAGATTTTGCACAGCCCTAGTATTTAAACCTGAAAGCTTGCTAGGAATAATTTTTCCAACTATTTGAGTTGATCTAATAAAAGATATCACATTTACCCAAGAACCTTGTCTACAATATGGCTAGGAATTGCAAAATTACAGTGGGTGCGTCTACACCTGTATCATAGCTGCAGCATCATAGTTTGTGCCTGCTGACACTGCATTACTATAGCACATTGCTATAGTGACATTGCATTTCATGTAGGCATGCCCAGTAAGTTGTAACTTACTTGTAGGTACAAGATTGTATCCAGTATCCTTTTGATTTTTTTTCCCTTTCCTATCTAAGTTCCTTTGGAATCCAGAAGCTTAGTCCCCTAAGAGGACCAATTTGATACATGTATTCAGAAAACACTTACAACAGACTGATCGGATAAGGCCTCTTAGAAAAAAGCAGTGACAACTACTTTCTTTTTAAAGGAAAGAAAGAAAGAAAAAGCAGGGAATGATATTGGGTTTCAGTGCCCACAGCCAGAAATGTGGTAGTCAAGTTTCTCTAAAAACATTGGATATAGAGGTCTTAAGAATGACCATGAGGGGTGCTCCTGCACAGCTCCACTGATGAGTTTCCAGGTTCTGTGTATACCAGCAGGTGCAGATCAGTTAGGCAAGCTCAAGAGAAGGGGTCCTCCATAGAGCCAGGGAAATAGTGAAAATATACCCTAACTCTCCAAATATATTCAATAGGGAGCCTACCTCAAGGCATTAAATTGTAGTAGGTGGCAGATCACCTATGAGGAAATTAAAGTCTCCCTTGGGGAGCTAGTCCCTAATAAAATGTTCTTAAGCAGTTCCCAATTACCATTCACATTTTTTGGTTACATTCTGTCCTCCAGCCTAACTGTTTTCAGCTCTGTGAAAATGGTCGTCTTGAAACACCAAGTGCATGCATGCACATGTGAATACATGAGCGTGTACATGCATATATGTGTGTGTTATTGGTTTGGACATAATTGGCTGCACATAACAATGTAGTAAAGTTATGATGGTTGCACCTAAGTGGACAGTAAATTTTAGTTCAGTTATCAATTCTTCAGTCACCTATCAGGAAGATTTCTCAGCTTAAGAAGCAGAAGGAGCATAGTTACAGAGGCCATATTACTTTGAGGGGAAGAATAGTCCAAATGCTGCTTCTCCACCATGAGAATCTAAACCAGACCTGACCTAGCCCGCCCTGCGCCTGCTCTGCACCACCCACCTATGGAACATTGTGTCACCCCCTGGGCACACAGTACGGCTTGGGCGGCTCTGCAGCTGGACTGCCTTTCTCGGCAGCCCAGGTGGCTATGGCTCCTTCCAGCTGCTGCCATGGCTGCTGGTCCCTGCTCTGCAGTTCTGGTAGGGACCCACACTGCACAGCCATGACCCTACATGACCCACATCTGCTCTGGGTTCACCTACCCAGTCTCAGCAGCAGCAGTGTGGGACAAAAGCTGTTGCTCAGTGCAGGGGAAAAGTGGTCCCGCCCCATCGCTGCTGCCAGCCAATCCTGCTGCAGCTGCCCAGAGCCCATGCCAGGCTGCCCTGTGTCTTTGCCGCCATTACCACCACCTCTGGGCTGCCCTGCAGGGCAGCAGATGCAGGGCAGCCCAGCGTGGGCTCTAGGTGGCGGTAGCAGGAACAGCTGGCAGCAGTGAGGGGGAGGGGTCGCTTTTTCCCTGTGCTGAGCAACAGCTTCTGTCCTGTGCCACCACTGCTGAGCCTGGGCAGGTGAGCCCAGAGCAGGTGCAGAGCACACAGGGCCGGGGCTGTGCAGCATGCGTCCCCAGTGGTTCTGTGGGACTGGGGCCAGCGGTAGCTGGAAGGAGCCACTGCTACCTGGGCTTCCTAGAAAGGCAGTCCAGCTGTGAAGCCACCCCAGCCCCCCGCGTGCCCAGGGGGCAGCAGGACACACCACGGCTGGACAGTGCCTGGGCCAGACAGGACCAAGGGACCCACCACAGGCTGGACAAAGACCTGCTGCAGGCCAGATGCAGCCCCTGGGCCATATTTTTCCCATCCCTAGTCTCAGCCCAAAGGGAAAATGTGGTTTGCCTTCTCTGCCCTGTGGTTGATATTCCTGACTTCTTGAGAAGTGCCTGCTTCTTTTGCTAGAAAATCATGCTCTGTTTGCCCTATTCCATGTTACTTACATGCAAAGGGGCTAGGGCACCTATAAGGGTGATCACTAGAATTTGCAGACAAGGGGCCTATCCTTGCCTCATCAGTGCTCCTAGCTGTTACATGAGAAACCCAGATATATAAGTGAAAGATTTATTGCTCTTACATAACCCAATTAAAATCCTTGATTTATTTCATTAGTTCTACATTTCAAGACAGTCTACACACGCACAACATAATTCCCATTTTAATTTTTTTGCTGGTAAAACAGTAAAAGCAAACCTCAGGACCTATTTTTCAGGCTCTGTACTACAGATATATTGAGATTATTTTGTTAAAAGAAAAAATGCAGAACTCCTTTTGGTTTATACATAAATTAGGTCCTTCCATGACTGGAGAAGTTTTAAATAGAATTTCTGTTTTATTTGTTCTGCAAAAGTTTAAAGTGGTCTTGAAGGAAGTGACCACCTAATCTGAAATACAGAATCAGAATACCGACTATGATTGTAGCCAATAAAAGGTGTTACTTTTCTTTACTCTTTTCAAATACTGATAATAAATATTAAAGAAAACTGAGAATTTACTTCAGTGCAGTGCTGCCTAACCTTTCAACTAGTGGATATGAAGTGTAATAAAACTACATTTTGTTTTAGCACATGGAGCAGCAGTAGCTGGCATGGCCGAGTTAAAGGAGGATTGAAGGGGTTTCAGAACTTCATGGTTTCTGACAGTAACATGAGTTTTGTTGAATTTGTAGAACTCTTCAAATCTTTCAGGTAAAATCTATTTTAACTGTATTTTTATTAATCTCATTTACCATTTCAAAGATGATAAAAATTTATAAAAGACATATAAAATGAACTTTCTTCCTGTATTGTAGTGTTCGGAGTCGCAAGGATCTTAAAGACCTTTTTGATGTCTATGCGGTACCCTGCAATCGCTTGGGCTCTGATTCTACTCCACTTTATACCAATCTGAAGATTGATGAAAACACCAGTGGACTCCAGCCTGATTTAGGTTTGTTAAGAAAATACCACTTAGAAAGAATTGACCTAGTTTGAATGTTGGGCTTAAAGAACAGTGCATTACAACCTTAACTAAAAGGTGGCTACCACATCCCCACAATAACAGTTCAGCCATTCCATCTATGCAAACTTAGCTCAACTAATTTAAGAAGCTTAATAAATGTAAGGGGTTTTATCAGAAGCAAATCAGGAATAGTGTGTGGAATCACTTTCATTGGAAATTTCCAAGAAGAATGTGAATAGGCATCTGGCTGGGATGGTTTAGGAACAATCAATTACAAGAACTCACACTAAATGACTCTTGGGCCAGGAACAGACATTACACTTGTATTGCTATAAGTGGTCAGAAGCAGGTGTATTTGAAGTAACAGAACAGAAGTTTGGTGCACAAAACTGGTTTATACACATAACAGAATAGAAATTCAGCATGTCTAAACTGTCTTAAAAATAGTGGAACCCAATCTAAGATATGCCGCCTTCCCCCCTTACCCCCCCAAAAGATCATGTGTGTTCTGTTTGCTACCAATCTAAACTATACCGCTTATAGAAAACTGCATAACTTAGATCAATTCTGTCTTAGGCTTTTTGAATGTCTGTACCTAGCCTGGAGGTCTTTTCTAATGCTGATTTCACATGAGATTTACGAAAACTGCATTTTCCCTGTCTTTTTGAAATTGTCATCTAAATTTCAAATTTAAAAATTAATTTAAAAATGGGAGGAACTACATGTGAGGGATATATATCTGTGTGTATAAGTATTTTAGGATTTGGTCCATAGCTATTGAGAATTAGGACTTACTGTCACAGTGAATAATATTTTACTCCTTTGAGTAATAGAATAATAATTTATAATTTCAGGTCTAACTTAATATTTCTAAGCACTGAAATTCAACTCATTGAATATTTGTATTTCTATTTTATCTCTTAGATTTATTGACCAGGAATGTTTCAGACCTTGGTTTGTTCATTAAGAGCAGACAGCAACTCTCAGATAACCAGAGACAAATATCTGATGCTATTGCGGCTGCTAGTATTGTAACGAATGGTACAGGAGTAGAAAGCACATCATTAGGAATATTTGGAGTAGGCATTCAGCAGCTTAATGACTTCTTAGTAAACTGCCAAGGAGAACACTGCACCTATGATGAAATCCTCAGTATTATCCAGGTCTGTAAAACAAACATCTTGCAGTTTGTCTAATAATTTTATTAGGGATTTTCTTTCTTCTATGTCTTCCTCTGCAGGTGTTTGTTCTCTGTCTCCAAATCACCACCTGCATAGATATCGGACTACCTCCTTGGAAGACTTCAGTTTGTTTAAAACTGGGTGCATCTACACATGCATTTACTTCAGCTTAAATTTACTGTGCAGTAAGCTACTGCACAATAAGGGGGTTTGGGTAGGTGTCCACACATGTAGAGATTAGGGAGCAGATTTGCTCCCAGTTCCTGCAGCGCACCCCTGGGGCTACTCGGGGGAGCTCCAGGCTCCCCCTGGTTGCTAGCCCAGAGGCTGTCAGGGAGCACCGGGACAGGAGACAACTGTCTCCTGGTCCCGGGAGGGCTGCCTGCTTCTGGGGTGGGAACAATGTCCCCCTGCATTCGCAGCAGGGAGCTCCTGGCACTGGCTCCCTGATCAGGGGCATGGGGCTTGAAAAGAGCTGCAGGGGTGGGGCAGGTCCCAGCCCTCTGCCTCGATCATCCAGTTGGCAGCTAGCAGCTAGTTTGCTGCTAGCTGCCCCACCAGCAGATGGTGGATCTGCCCCACCCCTGCAGCTCTTTCTAAGATCTGTGACCCGATTACCTGGTCAGGGCATGGGCCTGGGACCTGACCCTGACTGTGACAGTTCTCAGCATTGGTGACATGTAGGGGTAGGGGGGTGCATGTGGGTGCATGTGTATCCCCTGAGATTGGCAGTGCACTCCCTGCAAAAAGCACCACTGACACTGCTGATGGCTCCTATGGGCAGTTGCTGCTTTCCAACCCCCTCCCCCCTTTGCCACTGACACTGCCAGCGGTATCTGCAGGCAGTCCCCAATCACTGCTGGCCACCACCAGTCTGTGGGTGGTCACCAACCACCAATCAGTGCTTCCCATCCCTTCCCCCCCCAGCCGCCAACACCACTGTCGCTGCCTGCAGGAGCTCCCCATTCACTGCTGCCACGCCACCACCACCGCCACCACCACTTGTGGGCAGTCACTGTACCCCTCCCTCCCCCGAGCCTCTGGGGGCATCCATTGTTCATTGTTCTCAGCCAGCCCTGGGCTGTGTGGGGGAAGTCTGCATATGTAGCCCAGAGTTGGCTGGGGATTGCCCAAAACAGGACAGTCCCCTGCCACTTCCAAGCTGCACATGCTTCTCTATGCAGCCTGGGGCTGGCTGGGAACTGTCCTGTTCAGAGGCAGGTCCCAGCCAGCTCCAGGCTGGGTGGGGAACTATCCCCATGCAGGGAGCTCCCAGCCCCTGTTCCATGATCGCAGTTGTGATTTCAGAGTATGGGCTGGGGAGCTTATTCCCTGGCCAGCTCCATGGGCACAGAGCTGGAGGGGGGAACAGGCTGGGAGCTTGTTCTCCATCCAGCTTTGTGCTCATGGAGCTGGGTGGGGAACAAGCTCTCCAGCTTATTCACCCCCAGCTCCAGGCTTGCAGAACTGGGCAGGGAACAAGCTCTGCAGCTGACCTTGGGGCTTAGGCTGAGAGATAAGGGTCTCCCTGCCCCCCACTCCCTGATCATGATGGTGGGGTGGGGGCTGGGAGATAAGGATCTCCCAGACCTCATTCCATGATTGCAATCTGGGAGTAGCAGCTTGTAACTCCATGCTGCTGGGGCAGAGGGACATAGTCCTTGCCCAGGCTCCTGTGGCAGAGCCAGTGCCAGCAGCAGGCAGCTCCCAGGGGCAGGGAGCTATCTCCCACCCCCCCCCACGGACAGCTGACTCAGAGAAAATTTGGTTCCTGGCCAGGCATCTACACAATCACTATGGCACAGTTACTAATGCCAAGTAAATTTGCTACTTGAATTTGCAGTTAGCAAATTTACTTGGGATTAGGGAGATTTACTATGAAGTAAACATGTGCACATGTAGACCCACATGTTTACTTCACAGTAAACTGCCAATTCACCATTAAGTATCTTGTGTAGACCCATCTACTCTTATGTAAGGACAAGCGTCCCAAATAGTTCTGTTCCAAGACAGCAAATGCTTTTCTTTCACTAATGTTCTTTATTTCCATTAGATATGATGAAGAGATGTGAATATCGTATTGTGTTCACTGTGTGTTATAAAAATAAGGCTGGGTATCATATTGTAAATTCTTAATCTCTTTATGTTTGTCTAATGTAATGCAAAATTATACTGTATTGAATTTAACAAAACTATCAAAATATTTTGAACAGTTTGCATGCCAGTGGGTGCGTCTACACATGCATTAATACACCTTTGCTACCATGCCTTAAGTTTAGTACCTCTAACAAAAGGTACTACTTAAATCCACGGTACCTGGCACTACTGCGCAGTAGCAAAGGTGCACGGTCTTTTGGTAATGCTTAATGTGCAGTAGACTAATTCTACTGCACATTAGTGCATTAGCATGGTTTTTGCCATGATGAGCTAATGTGCAGTAGAATTAGGCTACTGTGGATTAAGCATCTCATGTTGATGCACCCAGTGTGTACAGTACAAACTCACAGCAGAGTTCAAAAGTCAGAAAGCAGAGAGGAGTCTCAGAGTGACACTTCAGAATTTTATGATACAAATCAATCTGTCACTGAACACCGGTGGATGCAAATAGTAATTTTCCTTTATCATGATAGGGATTCAGTATTATTTAAGGACAAGAGGCAAGAAAAGGGTGCCTGATTTTAGATCCATATTCTGCTTTGTAAGCTCTGTTGCATTACTAATTTTGTATTTTAAAAACTTTCAAAACTTTTGCAACATCAGTCATCAACATCAATTATCAATATAGTGAAGAGACCTGAGTAACCAAAACATATAAATAGGGACCTATTCAAATTACGGTTTTGTGATTTTTGCAGAAACTGCGAAAAACAGTGGTTTCTGCAAACACTGCGAAAAAGCGCAGCTTCTGCAATTTTCATAGAATTGCCAGGGGGAAAAAACTTGCTAAAAACAAAATGGTGGTTCCCTAGCAGGAACCGTTAGCAACTGCAGCCCAGCCTCACAGCCCATAGCGGGGAGGAGCCACCTGCACAAAGGCGAGCTGCCAAGATGGTGGCTAGTCCATCTACTGCTGATTGGCTGAGAGAGCTGCCTTTTGTGCAGATCTGCCCCTCTCTACCAATCAGCAATAAGGGGCAGAGCCACACGAAGGGCAGCCCTCTCAACCAATTGGTGGTGAGGCCAGGGCCACATGAAAGGCACCCCTCTTGGCCAGTCAGTGTAGGGATGGGCTCGCTTCAGAAAGATCTTGAAAATGGCACTGGGTGCTGTAAGTGGCTCACAATATTTCCTTTGCCTCAGTGCGCTTTAAATAGATCTGTACACATAAATGCAGTTTTCATATACCAACCCATTGGTTTGATGTACAAATGGTAAATTGTAAAAGTGTCAGAAAGCATGATTAAAATAAATATCATTCTGTTACTACTTCTTACAGAAGTTTGAACCCAGTGTCAGTATGTGCCAGCAGGGACTGCTTTCATTTGAAGGATTTGCAAGGTATTAAACATATTATATCTTACTATACAAGTAATGTTGTTTACATGTCTTTTGTGCTAAATACTCATCACAACATAACATTTTTTCTTTTCTAGATTTTTGATGGATAAAGACAACTTTGCCTCCAAAAATGATGAATCACAAGAGAATGTTGAAGAATTACAGTTTCCACTGTCATATTATTACATTGAGTCTTCACACAATACTTACCTCACAGGCCATCAGCTTAAAGGAGAATCCTCAGTAGAGCTTTACAGCCAGGTATACAGAATTAGATCGTTGCTTAGTTTTCAGCACGAACTCATTTTACTAGCAAGTCACAGAAACATGACCTTTTTGCTTTGAAATCTGAAATGTTCTAAACCCCTGCTTATAAAATGTTGGAAAACATGTGTGGGAAAGCTGCTTGTATGCACAGTTGTGCTCAAATGCTTTTTTCTAAAACAAAAAATGGGTTTAGTTTAAGATTCATAGCTTTTAGACACGAGTCAGTCTGACCTAACCTACTAAAATTAGACTTTCCCACAGGAAAGATGGATCTAAAATGTTAGTTCATTTAAATGTCAAAAACACTATTCAGATGCTGTACATTGTAGTGAAAAGACAAATTTCTAATAATATTAGATTTTCTGATAATATTACTTCTAGGAATATATTATGGTTCTGGCCATGGGACTCTGGTGATGAACAGGAAAAAAGGATTTTTCTCTAGAGGGTTTTGGGTCTATATTTTTTTATGTTTAACAAATACCACAAACATCAAACTTTCTGTGAATAGAATTTTCATCACTCAGTTTATTAAGGATAAATTCATCCACGTGTGAAAAGCTTGTTTAGAGTTCTCTGTGCCTCTTCTGTGCTATATGTTTGGAGGAAAGGGTTGGGGGATGTGAACCTATGCATAAGAAAGCCATGGACTTGGATTGTATTGGAGCCTATGGAGGAGGTTTCTGTGACAGCCCCACGTAACGGCATACAAGTAGGGTTGGGTGTAGGCAGGTATCCATTATCTTTAACACTTGCAATTGCTACGGTGTATAACGGTGGTGTTGAACCTACTGCATGTGGGCCAGAACCAGTGACTGGATCTGGCATGCTGCATAGTGGATCACTGGCAGCAGCTTGGCCAGACATGTTCTGTTGCTTACCACTAATCCCCTCCATAGCTCTCTCCCTCTTTCTCTCCCCACTTCCCTTTCCTCCCTCTGACATTGGCAGCTATCTCCCTCTGCCTTCCTTCCTACTCACCTCTCCTACTGGAGGGGAGAGATGGGCTACAGTGCAGCTAAGTCCCGGGCACGCAGCCCACTGCTCTTAAAGGTTGAGATCCACTGGTCTGTGTTCTTTTCCTGGGGAAGATTTAGATTGTGTTTCAGCCCAGTGCCTAAATATACTTACTTAGGAGAATTGTGTTTCACTTCATCATTTATGGTTTTTCCAGAAGTTACACTGATTCAAGAGAGCTCTGTTTGGAACACAAGGTTACAACGACAAAAAAGCTAATAGCACTTACATTAATAGATGATTTAAATAATGATAGAAATAGCAAGAATGAACAGTCTGAAAAAAAAGTTCAGGCTAAAACCTGCTTCAGAAGTGATTTTGTAAGGCGTCTTGTGAAAAATTATGGGCTGGAAGTCAGGCTAGGGTACCCAAGGAAGCTTGTTCCTTTCCCAGCCCAAACATCCTCATATGATCTTCAGCAAGTATTATTTTGCTGTTGCCAGGTCACCTTTTCTCAAAACAAACAAACAAAAGCCCACAGAAGTCTTGGCCAGAAAGCTTGTATGGAGTGGCCATCCCCTGGTCTAGATAAGATTGCTGAGTAGTTTACACACTTGCTCTGACAGGTCCCTGTAAAAAACACTTAATACAACCAAATTTCCAGTTTCCTTGGCCCCCACAGCAATACTGTGAACTTAAAAGTTTCTCTCTATTTATCTTGGGAACATTTTGTTTTCTTCCCCCAATTTGTTCTTCATTTTCCCTTTCTCTCCAAATTTGTTGATTGCAGCTGCTAGGACAGGAGCTTCTGTTG